TTGAACCACCAGCCTTCTGGTTAGCAGTCAAGTGCCTTAGGCACTACACTACCAGAGCTCCTTTATTACTATGTAGAATACATTTTTCTGAAGCTGGTTATCATGGTGCTTGTTAGAGAAAATAACCCACAACGAAAGTGTAGAAAATTCTTGAAGGAAATAATCCTTTTTCATATTCTGAAGTTAAAGCATCTTCTAATCATATGCAATAATTTCTACCAAAGAATAGTCAATTATTGTAAGTTCTTAACACTTTTACATGCAAGTGTACTGTATCTCTGAAGGTAGAATTAATGCAGACATAGCCCCTGTCAGTAAATCTGGGAACATAGTCCAAAGGAGCAGTAGAGCCCTAAAACAATGTCATCTTTAAAATTAAAGATGATTGTTAGTCTAACTTAATGTTCTATTCGAATTTATTTTAATATAGAATATTTCCTTTGCCATTCCCACACCCTTTGAGTAAATTTGACATTCCAGGAGTATAGGCTGTATTTATCATGTGTCTTGTCTTTTCCATGGCAAATCCAAAACAAGTTCCTCAATTTGAGAGGTAAGGATCACTTTCACCTAGCTGTGTAAATAAACCTTATGATACATAAGGTGGCTCACCTCATGGTACTTTTGGAAATTATTTTGTTGGGTGGTATAATCACATTGACTATTTTTACTAATTCTTAAAATTGTATTTTTCTGATTAATTTAGATATTCTTCCTAGTCAGATTTTGTTATATGTAATAGAAAATAAATTGGTAGAGCCTTTTAGTGTATAACTTACCATTATGATTTCAACGGACTTTTATGAATTTTATCTAGCTCAAGAAGATACAACTTGTAATGGGTAGTGTTAGGTAATCTTAGGCCAAGGCTCCCTTTTTTATCCTATGTTGTGATAATAGAGATTAGTGTACTCATTCCAGGTTATTTGCATTTTAGGTACACACTCTGAAATTTACTTATTGACATCTACAAGGATTTAATAAACTATGAGTCCCCAGCTTGGGATAGTTTCTTTGCAGACTAACTACCAACTGCTTCTAAACTTTTGAAGGTACTCTGTCTTCCTACAGGCTATAGAAAAACATCTTATCAAGAAGTCCCGTGGAGGTCTCATCTTTATTGGAGAATGGAAGAATGGGCACTTGGAAAAGAAGATGGGGCATCTGGCCTGCTTTGCAGGGGGCATGTTTGCACTAGGAGCAGATGGTTCCAGAACAGATAAAGCTGGTCATTATTTAGAACTTGGAGCAGAAATTGCACGTACATGTCATGAGTCATATGACAGAACTGGTAAGAATGTTGATAAAACCAATTACTTAATCTAAAATAACGCCAGAGTTAAAAATGTGACCAGGAATTAGAAGGAAAATATATAAGCATTTTTCACTTCAAATAGTTTCAACACAGTATATCATTTTTCAATTTATTAAAAACTTGAATTTCAATTCTGGAAATGTGTTCTTACACTAGATTTTGTTGTTTGTTTCTTTTTTGTTTGTTATGTTCTGAATTCAGCTGCTGTTTTTTGTTAATAAAGATTTTGAAATAGTTGTTTTAAAGAGATAGAGTGCTTGGGGGGCTGTATGTGACATAACATTATTTTAAAATAATAAGAATCCATTTTAGCCATTCATTTCAGCTTCCATTGAACCAGTTACTTGGAAGAATACAAAATCAACTGATTTAGGTTATATTTCCTTGCCTTTTCTCTTGTAAAAATAAAAATATCCAAAAGATAACAGTACAGGCAATCCCCAGGTTACAAACATCTGACTTACAAACAACTCCTACGTGCCCTTTGAGCAGAGCTTTCAACCCATTGGAACCAGTTCTGTCATGGCCGATAAATAGGAAGACACCTGAATTTTTATAGTTTGAGTGATTTGTCACCATAACCAGAATGGGAAAAATTACAATTCAAGCCCTGGAATGAGGGAATCAGAAGGGGCTAGTGAGTACTTTCAGGAGCCTGATGCATGAGATTGGATTATTGGCAGGACTGCCGAGAACCACACACTTTCAAAGCTGTGCAGTCGGCCACCATCTCTGAGCAGGGCAGAGGTAGTTTGGCTTAAAATGTGTTTTCATTTATGGACAGCTCATACTTGCCTTTTAATGTTATGTAAATTTGCCCTTACTTTGAAACAATTGAACCAACCCCTACTTGCAGTTCTTCATCAAAGTCACCCTCACATGCAGCTTCTAAATCATTGAAAATGTGTGTATCCTTTCTTGCACTAAAGTAAGGCTGAATAAGAAACGATATATGCACTTGTTCTGACTGACCTACAGGTTCTTTCTCTCTTTTATTTTTATTGTGGTGAAAACATACACAAGACATTCACCAATATAACAACTTCCCCGTTTACAGCTCAGGGACATGGATGACATTTTTCATGTTGTGCCACCACTATTGCTATCCTTTTCCAAAATATTCCACCATCATTTAGCATAAAGTCAGTGCCCTGCAAACAAAATCTTTCCTTGTCCCCCTCCCTTCTATTCTCGGTTACCAGTAATAATCTTGGTTTCTATGTTTTTATATGTATGTTTTATTTTGTTTTTCTTTCTTTTTTTAACCTATCTAGGAATTTACCCTCCTCTCCTGTCCCCTCCCTGGTAATGAAGAAAGAACGTTTCCTTCCATGTATAAACTTTTCCTTGACTTTTTACAATAGTTGACTAATATAATACTTGTCTTCTGTGGTAGACTTATTTCACACAACATAATGTCCTCCAAGTTCATCCACATTGTGTGCTGTTTTGCAGATTCTGCGTTGTTCTTTAGGATTACATAGTATTCCATTGTGTGATGTACCACAGTTTGTTTATCCATTCCTCAGCTGATGGACACTTAAGGTTATTTCCATCTCTTTGCTATGGTGAATAGTGCTGCGACGAACATGGGTGTGCGTATATCTGTTCATGTTCTGGCTCTCACTTCTTTAGGGGATATACCTAGTAATAGGATTGCTGAATCAAATGGTATTTCTATTTCCAGCTTTTTAAGGAGTTACCATACTGATTTCCACAGTGATTGTATCATTTTACATTCCCACCAGCAGTGTATGAGAGTCCAATCTCTCCACATCCTCACCAGCATTTGTTATTTTCTGTCTTGAACTTTGCAATTACTGCTGAGGTGAGATGGTATCTCATGGTTATTTTGATTTATATCTCTCTAATGGCAAATGATTGCAAACATTTCTTCGTATGTTTGTTGGCTGCCTGAATATCTTCTTTGGTGAAGTATCTGTGCATGTCTTATGCACATTTTTTAGTTGGATTGTTTGTCTTTTCGAAGTTGAGGTGTTAGAGTCTTCTATAAATTTTAGAGAGAAGTCGCTTGTCAAGTATGTCATTGCCAAATATTTTTTTCCCCATTCTGTGGATTCTCTTTACTCTTTTGGAGAAGTCTTTTGATGCACATAAGAATTTAACTTTTAGAAGGTCCCAATCGTCTAGTTCATCTTCTGCTGTTTGTACATTCTGGGTTATGCTTGATAGTCTATTTATGTCATAAATTAGGGCCCCTAAATTTTCCCTTATTTTTTCTTTGATGAACTTTATCGTTTTAGGTTTCACGTGTAAGTCTTTGATCCATCTGGAGTTAGTTTTTGTTTATGGTGCAAGGTATGAATCTTGTTTCAGTTTTCTGCAAATGGATATCCAGTTTTGCCAGCACCATTTGTGAAAGAGACTGTCTCTTCTCCATTTAATGGATTTCAGCCCTTTATAAAAGATCAGGTGACCGTAGGTCATGAGTTCTCAATTCTGCTCCATTGGTCTGTGTGTCTATTGTTGTACCAATACTAGGCTGTTTTGACAACTGTGGCTGTGAGAAGGTTTTGTGATCTGGGAGTGTGAGACCTCCTACTTTTGTTCTTCCTCTTTAGTAGTGCTTAGCATGTCCAAGGTCTCTTTCCTTTCCATATAAAATTAGTGATTGGTTTTTCCAAGTCTTTAAAGAATGTTGATGGGATCTGGATCAGGATTGCATTGAATGTATAGATTGCTTTGGGTAGTATTGACATTTTCACAATTCAGTCTTCCTATCACTGAGCATGGTATATTCTTCCATTAATGTAGATCTCTGATAGTTATGTGGTAGCATTTTGTAGTTTTCTTTGTATAGGTCTTTTATGTTCCTCTTAATATTTATTCCCAAGTATTTTATCTTTTTGGTAGCTATTGTAAAGGGTATTGATATCCTTATTTCCTGTCAGAGACTTCTTTGCTGGTGTCGGAATCCAACTGATTTTTATATGTTGATCTTGTATCCTGCCACTATGCTAAATTTCTCAATTAGTTCCAGTAGATTCATTGCTGAGTCTCTTGGGTATTGTATGTATAGGATCATATCATCAACAAACAGGGATAGTTTTATTTCTTCCTTACCAATTTGGATGCCTTTGATTTCCCTTTCTTGCCTTATTGCCCTGGATGTTGTTGTGTAGGACTTCCAATATAGTGTTGAATGGAAGTGGAGATAGAGGACATCCTTGTCTGGTTCCTGTTCACAAAGGGAATGGTTTCAGTCTCTCTCCATTGAGATTAATGTTGGCTGTTGGTTTTGTATATATGCCCTTTATTATGTTGAGGAATGTCCCTTTTATTCTTATTTTTCTGAGAGTTTTTATCAAGAATGGTAAATTAGATTTTATCAAAAGCCTTTTCTGCATCTATTGATATGATCATGTGATTCTTTTTCTTTTACTTACGTAATGGATTATGTTGATTGTTTTTCAAATGTTGAAATCCTTGCATACCTGCTGTGTTAGGCTGGGTTCTCTAGAGAAGCAAAACCAGTATAGCTCTTAGAGAGAGAAATTTATCTTAGGAAAATGGCTCACACACTTACAGAAGCTGACAAGTCCCAAGTTCTTGGATCACATGTCAAGCTGGGGGCTTTTCCCAACTCACACAGCTGCAGGGGCTGATGAGCTCAAGGTTGGCAGGTAGTCTAGTAGCTGTTGACTCCAGCGAATGACAAATCCAAGATCTCCATGCCAAGTGGTGGATTGTTCACTCATGGATAGTTATGGGCAACACAACAGGATCCCTAGCCACAGAAGAGTGTCTCTTTTTCCCAGGATGTTCATAAATATATTGGAAGCAGGCCACACCCCTTGGGAAACTCCCTTTCAGTGGATTAGCCGCTCAGAACATATGCATCAGATCTTATCATGGGAATAACCCGTATCACAACTGCTTAAACCACTCAGAATTTTGGTCCAGCCAAGTTGACACACAACTCCAACTATCACACCTGCTGTGAATCCCACTTGGTTATGATGTGTTATTTTTTTAATATGTTGTTAGAGTCTATTGGCTAAGATTTTGTTGATAAGTTTTGCATCTATATTCATGAGAGGTATAGGTCTGTACTTTCCCTTTCTGGTGTTGTCTTTGCCTAGTTCTGGTATCAGGGTTATGCTTGCTTCATAAAATGAATTTTGGAGTATTACATATTCTTCTATGTTCTGGATTGGTTTGAATAGGATTGGTGTCATCTCTTCTCTGAATAGTTGGTAGAATTCTCCAGTGAAACTATGTGGGCCAGGACTTTTTTTTGTTGGTAATTTTTTTTTATGACCTGGTCAGTTTCTTCTTTTGTTATGGGTCTGTTCAAGTTTTCTACCTCAGTCTGTGTAAGTTTAGCGTTAGTGTGTTTCTAGAAACCTCTCCATTTCTTGTAGGTTTCCAAATTTGTTGGAGTATAGTTCTTAATAGTATCCTGATACTATTCTTTTTATTTCTGTTGGTTCTGTTGTGATGTCACCCTTTCATTTCTTATTCATGTTATTTGCATCTTCTCCTTCCTTTCCTTTGTTAAATTTGCCAGTGGTTTGTTGAGTCTGTAAATTTTTTCAAAGAACCAACTTCTAGTCTTACTGATTTTTTCCATTGTCTATTTTCTGTTTCATTTATTTCTGTTCAAATCATTATTTCTTTTCTTCTAGTGACTATAGGCCTTTTTTTTTTGCTCTTCTTTTTTTAATTGTTAGAGATGTTAGGCTAAGGTGTTGACTTTTGGCTTATATATATCTATTGCTGTAAATTGCCTCTGATCACTGCTTTGGTGTATGCCAAAGATTTTGGTTATGTTGTGTTTTCATTCTCATTTTTTTCATTTTATGTTCAAACCCACTAGCCAATCCTCGGAAGGAAGGTTGGGCAATCTACTTCCATAGTGATACTGCCTCAGAAACCCAAGGAGGGGTCGCTATGAGTTGGATCTGACTTGATGGCAGTGTTTGTTTTGTTTTGTTTGTATCCAGTTGTTTTTG